TCTCTTTTTCGCTCCAACGTTTGTTGACGATGCAGATAGTAAGGGAGTGAGAATACGTTTATGTGACTGACCCAATAGCCATCTCCATTGCTGCTGCAAAACTCTCACGCTCTCACTGTGTGCAGTGTTCAAAAGGCGAGGACAATCTACGAGTTAGACGAGCGGTTTTTTCTTATTTTAATATTATTTTAATTTTTAATCAATTGAAAAATAGTTTAATAATTAAAAATAATACCTATCAAATATTTGAAACAAATGTATAGAAAATTTATACATTTTTTCAAAGTCTTGAACAAAAAGATAATTTTCAAATGTAAATATTAAATAGTAAATAAATAGAAATTTTTGAAAGATTTCTTTTGTTTAAAGTTTCAAGCGATTATTTTGAATAAATCAACATTTAAATTTTAACTTAGACGAATTGTAAAAAAAAAATTAAAAAAATAAAAAATTTTAAAAAAAGATGCTCGCATTAGCGATCAATGATTGCTGTTGATTGCTAAATAAAGTCGTTTGGCATTTTCACAGCGCATCACGCATTGGCAACGTCAATACGCGCCTTTCAAAACAGTGATTGTGTACTGGGAGAGGTGGAGAACTAGGCAATAGATTTGTAACGTGACAATCATGCTACACATACAAATATGTTTCAAAAAAAGGTTCAAATAATTGGTATTTTTTGTTTTAACTTTTCAATTGTCCAATCACTATCGACACGTATTCCACCTATTTTTGAATCTGTATATGTAGCATGATTGTCTTATTAAAGCATTTCTAACAGTTAGTGTAAAATTGAATATAAATTGACTCTCATTACATTATATTTCATTTTTCTATCTCCTATTTTCAATGACACAATATTCCATAAAATAATATTAAACGTAAATCGAATTTTTCCTTTTTTTTAACTACTTATTTTTCAAAAAAAAAAATATTCCACCCATTTTTATTTCCAAAAATAAGGGCCAAATAGGAGCTAGGGTTAAGTTCATCGGTGGCTTCTCAACTTTATATTTAATATCACCATGATCATACAATTTAATTTAATTTTACCATGACTATCCAATCTTATACTTAATATTACCATAGTCATCCAATTTGATTTTATTTCACTATGACCACCCAATTTCATATAATGTTTCATCTAGCCATCCAACTTCTTTTCACCCTTTTTCACTAATTTTAGAAATGGTAAAATAATAACTTTGCATTACATATACAAAAAAATCTAAAAAATAAAAAATAAAAGTTCTTTTTCATTTTAAAAACCTTTTTCAAAATAAGTTTTTATTTTATTTTATTTTTCTAAGTAATTTTTTTTAATAAGCTTTCTTTTTATTTTTAAAAAGTTTTTTTAAATAAAATTTTATTTTATTTTTTAAGTATCGTTTTTTAAAATAATTTTTATTTTATTTTATTTTTAAGTAAATTTTTTAAATAAGTTTTTATTTTATTTCAAAGAAGTTTTTTATATATAAGTTTTTATTTTTTTAATTTTTTTTAACTAAAGTTTTCTTTAAATAAGTTTTTATCTTTCTTTTTTTTAATATTTTATATATATAATGCAAAGTTACCGTTTTTCCCTTTCTAAAATTAATGAAAATGGTAAAAAAAAAAAAAAAAAAAAAAAAAAAATTGGGTGGCCATGATGAATCGTTATATAAAATTGAGTGGTCGTAATGAAATAAAATAAAATTGGATGGTCAAGGTGATAATAAATATAAAGTTAGTGATCATAGTGAGCCAAAATCAAATTGAGTGTCCATACTGACACTAACTATAAAGTTCGGTGGCCATTAATAAATTTAACCCTTCTATAATGTAGTGTGTGATTTTTTTTGTTTTTAAAAATCGATGATATTGGTTATCATTAAGATAATGTGATACTTCGTCCAAGGAGTAATTGTTAAAATAATATGAACAAAATATATTTTTATCTTTTGTTTGTGTACGTGTCATTATTTGTAAAAATGAAAATTTCTTTGGGTCACAATTATATATAATTTGCTTATAAGATAAACCTTTATATCATACTCTCAACCGAAATCATTACAAGGTACTAGATTCATTAGTTAGGTAGGTTCAATTTCTTTTCTTTCTTTTATTTTTGGTTAATTTAACTTTTTTTGTGAATCATATTTGACGTTGTTCAATTGAATGTACCAAATATGTCATCGATATATAGCGTAAGAGAAACTTTGATGCCTATTAAGGTATGTCCTTTCTTCCTAATTCTTCAGGTAGATTTAATGTGTTCGGTAAAATGCCACAACTAAAATAACTAAAAGCTAACAAAATTATCAAGAGGCATTTTCAAGAATGTCCAATTTTAAGAGTATAAGTTGAAAAGTGTCCACTCATTTAAATTTAATGTCAATTTGTCCATTATGCCCTTAATGAAAAGTTACATTTTAAAATGGTATTCTCGACATTTTAAATGTCGTTCTCGACATTTGATTTTTTTTATCAATTTGTCACGAATTTTGAGAAGTGGCTTCCATGATAAATTACATTAAAATAAATTCGGACGACAAAAAAAAAAAAATAAAAAAATAAAATAAAATAAAATATATATATATATATATATATATATATATATATATATATATATATATTACTTTAAAAAAATAATGTGAAAACAAAAAATATGATACTTTAAAAAAAATCACGTCTCCGTGACACGGAGGCAAGTGCTTCCGTGTCACGGAGACATTCTCGATATTACATATATCATTCTCAACATTTGAACACTGATTCATTAAAAAAAAAAAAAAGGTCAAAAATCACGCCTCCGTGTCACGGAGACATTCTCAGCATTTGCCTCCATGTCACGGAGACATTCTCGATATTATATATGTCATTCTCGACATTTGAATACCGTTTCATTTAAAAAAAATGAAAAAATCACGTCTCCGTGACACGGAGGCACTTGAACATCGTTTCATTTGTCTAGAATGACATTTTATTTTGAACATGGCATTTCTCTACATTTGAAAATGTCGTTCTCGACATTTCTAAGTTAACGAAAAATATAGCATTTATTGTGATTTGACATGTATACTTTTGAAATAAATATGGCGGGTTATGTGTCAAAACTTTATCTGTCAATAACAATTTTGCAAAAATGTCCATTTTTTTGTCCTAGTGTAGAATTAAAAATTGTTAATAGGGGTATTTTGATCTAAATTTTTTTATAATTGGACATTTTTGCAATGGTTTGCAATAATGGACATTTTTTGCAAATGACTATATAAAAATGGATATTTGATGAAATTTTCTCAATTTTATCAATTATACAATCTAACTTTACGTATCAAACATGTAAATAAATATATTCTCCATGCTACTTTTACCTACTCCAATCTCTTAGATGACCAAGCCTCCTTTAAAAAAAAAAAAAAAAAATGTTTAAACCTAACCTTGAAGACCCTCACCGTCCCGCCTCTGGAGTATTGTGAGGAAGATAAATTGCAGGTGTGCCCCAACAAGTCAGGAAACAAGAGTTTGCCCGTACACTGATGCCGAGCCCAATTCCATATATCAGGAATCGAACTCTCACACTGCGACTGTCAATAAAGTTGAGACCAAAACTCCTTTTTAGTTAAGAGGCAGCATCAAGTATGTATTCTATGGACATATTTGGTAACTTGTATCCAACATGAACAGATGACACTAAAAAGGAGACATATAAAAATAAAAAAATTATTATTAGACGGTCTGAATTTGCTCTGCATCATGTCTTTTCAGTTTGTAAGATAAGATGAATTAAACAACACTAAAATATTTTCTATAGCATCTGTCTATCGTGTCGAACACTGTACATCCAACGTGTACAAAATGTTTTTCAAACCAACATGTCTTGTAAAGTTGATGCCATCAAATGAGCATCCATATTTATGGCAATAGAGTTTCATCATCATTCCTTGCAAAGTAAGATACATTATTCCTAGGCAATTAAAAAATTATCCCCTAGCATCTCATCTCCAAAAAGCTTCAAAAATAATTAGCATTTTCTCTCATCCACATCCACATGTCCTTGTCCATCAAGAACCCATATCCAACTTTTGGGATTTGAAATCCACTAAAGCACATGTTCAAATTCCTTCTTGATAATATGATAATCATCTCCATTACCAAGAGAAATAATTAAACAAATATGGAGCCTGTTTAGAAGTGATTTTGAAAAATTAATTCTTTGACCGTTAGGAAAAAGTGGAATCCATCTGTTAGAGATGAAGTTAAATATGACAACTGAAATAGTAAAATAACGGTAAAAAAATCACTCTCAAATAGGCTCATGGTAGGAACTTAACTTCAATCCAATGGATTTACAAATACAATAAAAAAAAACGTAAAAAGTTTGTAGAACTCCCAAGAATCCTTTATTTATAAGGATCTACCATTAAACTCCACACATGCCAGCACAATAAAGATATAAGCGGCTGCCATTCAATAATGAAATCAATGTAACAAAATAAAAACAATACACCTTATCATGGAAAATAAATTATTCTAGGTGAGATAGTAACTAATATATTTGGAACAAGATAAAAATTTATGAGAAGCGATTCTAAAAATTTATTATTTTTGTAATTTTCTGGTTAAAAAATAAGAAAAAATTATGAATAAACATAAAAATGATTTTATGTGGAGGGTGTGATCGAAAATGGGCGTGGGAGAAAAGTGAATCCCTAATAATCAAAATCAAGCAAGAGCTAAACTTGATCCCTACTTACTCAACAATTTAAAACTGAAAACAAACAAGGCCAACACGCAAAAGTATAGTAGTTCGTTTACGTCCTATTATCACTGCAATCCACTACGATGTAAAACAAGAGTACCAAGAGCTTTCTCACACCAAGAACCCACAAAAGACCCTTTATAGACTAAGAATATTAGGTCGATCTACAGTCGAAGGAAGTATGATTAATCTCCCTACAGTCCTCCAACATAGCATAAAAAGAAATGAAAATGGGACAGTCATTCAATAAAGAAAGAAATAACAAAACAGATATCACCTTATCCAAGAAATGAAAATATTCTGAGTTACAAAATCAGAGACTAAAGTATAGCCTAGTCTTCTATTTTCCTATTAACAATATTGAAGCACCAAAATGACATGTATTATGTAACCCTATTGATAAGAAGTGTTCTGATTGCACTGAATGATTATGCTAATCCAACAAGCAAAACAATAAGGAATATATACTCAAAATCGGTAAAAATATCAGTAATCGGGCATAGTGCTATAGTTAACCCAGTAACCCCATCCTTTCTATTACCTAGTTTAAACTAGTAAAAGATTAGTGTTTTCTTCGGAAGTTTTACACCACTCCTACTTCTTACCTAGCCAAGTTGCCTCCTTTCTGAAGCTTGGTACTGAAAAAACTAAAAAATTGAAACCTGGTCAAATTCACTGAAACCTGGTCAAATTCACTGAAACCTTATGTTTTCAGAATGTGGACCTGCTTAAAGGCTCGGTAAAGTAATTTTGATTTTACTGAGCCATCAGCTGATCAAGCTTCATCTGCTCGAGCAATGCACCTAAAGCAGTAGATTGATCAATATGTTCAGCCTGTGAATCCAAATTTTGATTTTCGCCGGTAGATGTAACCGAACCAGCAGTGCTAAACATATGAGGTGTAGATTTTTCCTTCGTTTCCTGTGGAGATTCTTTAACGAGTGACTGAACCCATGATAAATCGGGCTCCTCAGCACCGTTCAGATTTTCTAATGATGATGATCTCTTTAGCTTACCAAACTCATCAGCATTGACCGCCCAGTCAGGCTTTCCAGTAGAGGATCCCCAGCTTGACCCTGCATCTTTCGAAGAGGCAACAGCAGCCATAGCTTTGGAGCCAAGATCACGTGAGCTGAGACTTCGAAACTGCTTCTGATGCTTGAGACTTTGAGCCAGCATTGACACGCGAGAATTTATTGATGACATATGCTCCATGTTGCATGGTGACATCCTCCCTGAAGACGGAATCCCAAAAGAGGCCTGCAATAGGGCGTGATCTACATTTCTTGGTGAATAAGGTGTGTCAACTGGGGATAGGACATTCTGTTGCTGCGGCTGGAATTGATTAAGAAGTGCAGATTTGCGAGTTGGGGAGAAAACAGATGTTTCAGTATATCTGGGAGAAGAGCTTTCAACGGAAAAGGCATCCTCAAGATTCGAAGAGATTAAGGTTTTGGATCGAGCAGAATGGTTCAATGAATTGGTATTAATACTTGGTTGGGATAAGCGGGATAGTTCATTCAAGAACTGCTTCTCTTGGAAATCAAAATCTTCTAATAAACTCAAGTCTTCAGGGGGGATATCTCTAGCATTCAGTGATGTTCGCAGGCGACTGGACTGGAGGTTGCTTCCAGGTAAATGCAGTGCCGGAACATTTTGCGGGGGCCAACCCATATTTGACATCCCATTTATGGACGGAGACATAGGCGGAGTAAATGAAGATGAAGGAGAAGCTGGTAAAAGGCTCATCGCTGCAGCGAAATCCATGGCGTTAGCAGCAGAGGAACTCGAGTGAGGAGAGAGAATGGCTGAACCTGTCGATACATACAAGGGTCGGAGTTCCTCTTGCGTGTGGGCAAAGAAACAGACTCTGCGGTTGCAACTCGTACCATCTTTGCAAAGCCGAGTCCGGTATTGAGCCGGGTGAAGCCAGCACTCAAAAACTCCGTGAGCATATTCACACATGTCCCCTCTATGGCAAGCCCCCTTGCGAAAATCAGGACAAGGTACACAGCTGTAGTGGTATTTCCTTGGATCCCTTCTTCGAGCATTTTCACCCGGGTGAACAAATGGGCACTCAGTCCAATCATGTGAGTAGGCACGAGAGCACGGTCGAACCTTAAATGAAAACATTCTGAACTCATCTGTAGAATAGATGCTATTCTTGATGTCAGGCAAAGATGGATCGATGAAGTACTCTTTCTTATCTGATGCAAACTTTGCACTCTTAGGAGAAGCCACCAACTCCGAAGGAGATGACGGGGATTCAATACAAGGAGGTGGTGAAACAGTTGAAGAAACTGAATTTGAAATGGTTGTTGACACTCTAAGATTGAGATCTCCATATGAGGAGTCGTTTTTTAGAATCGTTACAAGAGAAATTTTCATTTCTTGAAACTTCGGAGGGACAATAATAACGTCAACAGGACAACAACCATTTGCATCCTCCAGATTTGGATCAGCACCAGCTGCCAAAAGCAGTTTCACAACATCAATAGTCTTAACTGATCCACTAGATGCAGCACAGTGAAGAGCAGTGCTCTTATCAACGCCAGATGATCGATTCACATCAACATCAGGTGAAGAGATTATCAGTTTCAAAACATCAAGGCTACCATAAGTTGCAGCCACCATCAAAGGAGTTCTTTGATGAAAAACCATTTGCTTCGAACCCTTTTGACGTCCATACCACAATCCAACCGCGTTGATGCCGGACGGTTCACTATCAACTGATTTTTTAAACCCCTCTATATCATTGTTGGCAGCAAATTCAAGCAAACTGGCAAAAGCATCTTCAGTTTCAACATTTAAAAAATTATCGTTCATGATTGTAGTTCCTATACTGACAAAGGGATCGGGAGATGATACGAAATGAATTTCTTCTACAGTCTAACAACTCCAATTCACAGCAAATGCTTCTATTTCCAAAATCCAACTGGCAAAGAATTCTTGATGTTAGAATTAAAAACAAGAAAACAGCATTCCTGAAATGAAAATATCAACATAATTGGGAAAAGTTCTACAAAGAATAAAATTCAACTGCAAACAGGAATAGCAATTGTTTGATAGCCAATATGCCATCAATATGTGGGGCGGGAGTGGGAAGCTACAAAATAAATGAGAGTTTGAAATTTTGTTAAAATAAGAAATTATGCTATAAAAAATTCAAAAGTCAATAGCATTAGGAAAAAAATAAAATTTCTAGATTTAATAAATTTAACAAGATAGATTTAATCAATAGAACTTAATTTGCATTGCAAATATTAAGAAAAATATCCAACTCCTCAAAATGCTAAACAAAAGTAAAAAAATAAAAGGATTTGCATCTCTCATTATAATCATATGGTGCAATACGCAAAATAGAAATTGAGCTACATAGATTAATAATCAAATTTATGAATGTATCAATTAACAAATAGCTACTAAGAATAATTTATTTAAAAATGAAAAAAGAAAAACCCATCAAGAAACCTAAAGAAACAGAAAAATATAATAAAAAATTAAAAAAAATTCAGCAGTAAAAACAAAATTAACATAAAATTTCTACTTTTATCTACCCCAACCAAGAAAAATAAATAATGAAAATCAAATTGAAACAACCCTTTCAGAATCTATATGCATGCCCATAAACTCAAACTCCTATATGAATATGGTAAAGTTAGTTGTACATAATAAAAATAATAAAGATTGCAAATTTATTTAGTAAAACATTATAAGTTATATGCGCGTGCGCGCGTACATATATTTATATGTAAAATACATAGAGGTAGATATGGTTTTTACCAGTTAACACGAAAAAGCAAGAGCGGCAGCAGCAACTTCATCAGGTAAATTCTTGAATATGTACGTATATGAAGAGAGAGAAAAGACAGAGCAATACAGATTTTATAGTAATTTTATTTACAGATCTGGAGAGAGAAATAAGAGTATGAGAGAAAGTTGAAGTGATAACATGAGGAACTTCTTCACTCTCTTCCTTCTTCACCATTTCCTATGTTGTATCTATGTTTTTTACCCTCTCTCTCTCTCCCCTTTTTCTTCCATTGATAAATACTATCAATATTATTACTACTATTATAATAATGAAGTATTAATTAATGGATTAATTTCATAAACTGTCACTGAACTTATTCTAAAAATACAAAATGGTCATTGAAGTTCAAAACTTTCAGTAACAGTTACTTAAATTTTGAAACGCTTTCAAAAATCGTTACTGAAGTTTAAAAACTTTCAGAAACGGTCACTAAAGTTTAAAAACTTGCAGAAACGATCACTGAAATTTAAAAACATTTTTTTAGTTTTTTTTTTTTTTTGCTACTTTTGCGACAACTTTCTGACCACCGATACCATTGAATTTTGATACCGTTGGAAAACCCATAAATCCTCTTCAATTATCACCCAAAATCTTCTTGTAACTCCAAGTGATTTGACTTTCCAACAATATCAAAATTCGACGATTTTAGTGGTCGAAAGTCGTCGAAAAATCATCGCAAAAATCGCCCAAAAATCTAAAAATTTGGGTAAATTTTCGGATTTTTTAGGCGATTTTTCGGTCGAATCCCTTGGAATTATGGAAAGATTTTTTGTCATAATTGAAGAAGATATTATGGGCTTTCCAAAGATATCAAAATTTGACAGTATAGGTGATCGGAAGTAGTCGAAAGTTGCTTCAAAAGTAGCTCAAAAAACTGAAAAAAAAGTGTTTTTAAATTTTAGTGACCATTTCTGCAAGTATTTAAACTTCAGTAACCATTTTTTAAAGCTCTTTCAAACTTAAGTGACCGTTATTGAAAATTTTAAATTTCAGTGATTGTTTTGTAATTTTCATATAAGTTCAGTGACCGTTTGTAAAATTAACCCATTAATTAATATTTGGGAAGAAAACAGAGGTGACTCAACTTTCGAGTGAAATTTCTTTTTGGTACTCGAACTGTTTTGCTCCAAATTCTTCACTAAATTTTTTTAAGCACCATTACTGATTAGATTGAGCCCTTGTTTGATAGTCATTATTTGCCCCAAAAAAAAAAATAGATGTTTTGAGTAATGATTTTTTTGAAGAATATGTAATTAAAAAGTATGGAAAAAATTTTAAATTTACGTTTCAAAATATTTTACTATGTGAATATGTGGTTGAAAATGATTATGTAGAAAAAATAATTTTCAAATAATTGTTGTCGAACAAGGGATTAATTAAAACTTTTTTTCTCAAACTCATTTTTAATCACAAATTCATGTAATAAATATTTTTCATAATCGCAAACTTTTTCCTTCTTTTTAACTCCAAAATTCTAAAACTCAATTTCTCCAAAAAAAAAAAAAAAAAATTGCACGTAGAATTATAATTTTATTTTATTTTTACTTTTTAACAATACATTTTTTCTAATTCTATTTTTAAAGATTCTATATCAAACATACCCTTCAATTTTAAGCAATTCTGAGTACTAGAAACGAAATCTTAAAACTTGAAATAAAAAAATTATTTAAGTACATACGGTGTAATCCACCAACCACGTGGAAGAATTAACTATTTTGAAGAAAATTGTGTCCAATAGGTTTCTCTTAGAAAAATTAACTGATCTTGCCAAAATTCTCATAATGGATTTTTAGAATTATTCAAGAATTAATATAGATTTTCTAATTACAATAGTGGAACCAAATGTTCCGTTTATAAGATTCTTACTAGTTTGGTTCAATTCTATTCTAAATTAGACTTAATTTCGTCCTTACATTTAATAATCTTTTCTATTAGATAACAAATTTTCTTACGTGAACTTCCCGAACTTAACATTAGTTTGTTGCACTAGTTAGTCTTGTAAACTCGCACTTTTAACACAAAAAGAGGTCAATGAAAGTCATGTTTCAACGATTGGACCAAAGTTGATGAAATCGTAATGTTCGAACAACAAAGAGAAAGATAGCATGATAAGCAATTAGAAGAACTTTCAGGGATCAAAGAAGATTGATCGACTGATAAAAAAATTTAAAGTTTGTCTATAAAAAAATTAAGAAAAAGAAAAAAAATTGACATTTTGAAAATAAAAATGGAGTCATGCTTTTGAAATGTGATCTTTACGCAGAAATACATGGTTATTGCACAATATATTATTAAATACCCACATTTTGAAGGGGGGAAAAAGAAGTGACTAAAATGAAATTTTTCTTAAAGTTAGGTGGTGTCCCATGATTTGAGCTTTTAATATTGTAGACATAATTCTTTATGTTTTGTTGAAATAAGCGCCTATCCAACCCTACGCTATCCATACTTTTATCAGACATTTTATCTCATAATTCTCGTTATTTTATATTTCATCGTGTCAGCCAATAGAATGAGATGTTCATAGTCATACTTTATGAAAATTGAAATTTTTATTTTTGTTTTACATAATTTTAAATTTTTTACTAATGTTTATATTGAAGCTTTACAATAAAAATAACATTTAAGTCGAAAAATAATTTTATTTCTTGTAATAAAATTAATTTTCTATAGTTTTACTCTTCGATTAACAGCTTGACTTGAGTTAGTACTTTGTTTTTTATATATCGGGAAAAAAAATTCATTGCAAGTTCTTGAATTTTTTTAAATATACTCCACTCATACAAATTATCAAGTAAATCGAGTTGATATGGAAAAGTTACGAATGACAATGACGAATTGAAAAATAAAATAATAATAATAATAATAATGTTTGAATTGAAAAAATATGCATTTCTTTAAAGTTTATTGACAACATTCATCGATAATATATAAAGTAAAAGACATTACTATCAACTTGCAATTTTATTTTTTTTCATCAACGTGTTTGATGAGAATTGAAAAATTAAAAAGTCATAATTTCATTTATTATCTTTCATTCACTATATTGTTAATAATAATATAATATGTTCAAAAATTCTAGGAATTTAGCCTAAATTTAAGTTCAGAGTGTTCAGACAACATCTCCTACGTACATAACAATTAGACGCCCCCCGAACACAACCCAACGGTGCAAAGGATGGGAGTGAGATATTCTCAGCCTTGCTAGCAGCCGCAGTTGAGGGTTCGAATTCTGAGATATGAAATTAGACTCTTTGCGGGAACCAGTGTACGGGCAAGCTCTTATTCCCTGACTTGTTAGAGTACATCTCGCGATTTACCTCCCTCACGATGCTCTAGGAGCGGAATAGTGGGGGTCCTCAAAGTTAGAATTCAACCTTTAACAATTAGATTTCTCACACCTGATGACGTGGATTGTTTTAATTCGCAATAAGTCCAACACATCCTGATTGAATTTTGTAATGATAATCCAAAAATACCCATTAAAATATCAAGAATGACGTAGTTACCCGGTATCGTCCAACCATACTTCGAAATGTGATGCATGAAATCGAGTGCAAGAAATGTATAAATGAAACAAAAAATACTATAATTACAGAATTTTTTCCACATATTTTGTACAGGAAAAAATCCTATACATGAAAAAATTTCCAAATTGTCGTGTATGAGAAGCATTTTTCATTTTCCAAAACGAAATGCTGATGTTATTGGTAACCGATTGGGAGCTGAAAAGGCAGGTGGGAATCACTGGTTAGGTAAGCTAAAAGCAGGGGAAGGGTGACCGGTATTTTCGGGTGGAAAATTTATGTGGAATGGAATATGGGTTGGGTTCCGCGAATTAGGGGGCGGAGTTGAGTCGAAAGTCAATTTGGTTAAATTAGAGAAAAATCACAAAACTATTTCCCCTTCATTATTGTCGAATAATTGTCCAAAAATAATTAAAAGTAAGAAACCATTAAATTATTATACAAAATAATGTGTTTAATGATAGGAATCGATTCTTTCGTTGTAGAATTTATAATTAAACTATTAAATATATTTTAAAAAATTTTGTTTGGAAAGTGATAACATTTTTTTATTCTTGGATCTATAAAACGAATAAAGAAAATAAAATTAAAATATTTGACTTACAATATTCAAATATGCGATTTTGAATTGTCCAGATTAGTCATTAATATATATAATTTTTCTTCAAAGGTAGATTATATTAATACAGAAGATTTCTGATTTACTTGACATGGTTTTTGAGTAAAAAAATTGGAATAAAACTCCCTGCACAGATCCCTTTGCACAGGGTCTGTACAGAGGCTCTTACATGGAGGTGGACCCCACATGTGGACCCCATGTGTGTGCATCTGTACAGACCATGTGCAAATGGATCTGTGCAAATAGTACAACTGAAAAAAGTGCTTATGAGACTAAGAAACTACTTTTGAATATGTTTGAATAATTTTATGAAAATATTTTATCTAAGATAACTTATTCAAGAAAATAATTTTACATGAAGTTGACATAGTATAACTTATTCAAGAAATTCTTCTATAAAAAAAGAGAAATAAAAGTAGAAGCTCTGACAAACTAGATATTAATTGCAACAAAACAGATTAAGAATTCAATTGATAATTAATGAATAGTTTGGGGATGCTACTACAATCATTTCATTAACAAATTTGTTTTGATCAATAATGCGAGAATGAATTTTAAACATTGGTACAACCAAAAAACATATGTTTAAATTATGCATACACTAGTGGAGCCATTAGTACATGGGATGTACGTATATATATTATTGAATCGAGGATGTGACATAAAAAAAGCATAAGTTTCCATTGATAAATACACTTGCTTAGAATGCAACTCAAGATAAGATGATTAAAAGTGAAGAGGAATAAAGACTCTTCATCGTATAAGGTTCGATTTGTTGGATCATATTGTACTCTTTCCAGGTGTTGATATTATTGCAAAAGATAAAACAAGAAGTTCGTTATTATAGAGAATATTGATAAAAGCCGGATATGGACAATGTTGAATAGGGTCTAATTGCATAAGTTCTTATTCTCAATCAATTGATGATATATATAAATGGGGGGGGGGGTGGGGGAGGGAAGGACATTATATTATTCCGACTCGATGGTTCCCTTTCGAGATACAAGAGCCGAAATAGACAATGGTGGATTGGAGGAGCTGACGTAGCCTCGCCTCGTTGTCCAATCGT